GGGGGGGGGGCTATCTATGCGTAACACCTTGTACATACGTTTCTCAGTTGATTCTCTCTTTCGTTGAGAGCCTTAGGTTCCCTGCTTTTAATAATTTCCTCCAAGTATTACAGGACAGTGATAATGCTTTAATTTTTCTGTCCTCGGTTACTTTCAGAAACAGAGACGAAGGTCCTTTCCACGAATTCCTAAACTGCAATGAGTTGGTTGAAACACTGCCAAGAGAATCTCTTCTAAAAAAAATGGACACGCTCTCTAGTTGTTGGAAGAAGTTAGCAGTATTCGCCTTATTGAGTGACGGTTGCTCCAGAAGAAACCTTTTCGAGAAAATATCCAACTGTCGAAAATCGCCATTTTGCATTTTGGCGGCGATCTCTTTAGCTCTTTCAATGTGTTTTCCCTTACCGTAATCATTGTACGCATGTGAACTTTGCGTAACTCGAATGAACCGGAATCAGAAGCCAAACGAAATAAACTCATTAGGTGTAACTGATATGGATCTTTAATGCAATCTTGCTAAGATTTTGATTTCGGTAAGTCCATCCGATAAAACCAGTCGCATGAAACTTACTAGCCGTAGACAAAGAAGAGAAAGGTACTATAAAGTGACGAAGACCAGAACTTTAGCAGGCGGTATTAAGGACGCTGGTACCACTCGTAGGTCAACACGTCCAGAGTCTCGGAATGCTTCTCAAAGACCTTACACAATGTATATATGAAGTAGGATCCCACGTGCCTATTTCTGAATGCAACATGACCTGGCCGACCAGATGAAAGAAATACATGTTATGCCAGAACCGAACGATAAATAAAGGAATAATTGCTTAGCACTGACCCTCGTAGGTGGCGTGAGCAATGAGGATGTTGGCATGGGTGGGAAGATGATATTCCTTATTTTGTGCGGGTCCGTCGTGTTCGTCACCGCTAAGGCAGTCACTGTTCAACTTTTTCTTCACACCATCGTCGATACGTTCACCTCGGCATGCCTACTTGGAATAAATGCAGCATTGCATGATAAAAAATAAATGAACTAAAATTTCTAGTTAAGAAGAACTATTTTTTTCGGGTGAAAGTGAGGCTGTGAGAGTCGTAACGATGGACAGAAGCAATTGATTATGCAGCCTGGTATGAATTTAAAATCATTTATCTTGTACGATGTGTTACCTAACACTGTTTATTATACCTGAATGAAGAATAGCTTTGGTTTATCAACCAGAGCCTTGCATTCATCCCCATAGAAGGGACGCCACAGTTCCTCTTCCATAAAGGTATTGTTTTTGGCGTAGAGGAGACCTCCTTCTTCCCCATGAGAGAGGAAGCAGACAATTAGGCACTCATGTTCTTCAAGTTCTGGCGATTGAGAAACTGCAATCAGAGTAGTAGATAATCAGTTTCAGCTATACAGCGTGTGTAAAAAATAAATGAACTNAAGGGACGCCACAGTTCCTCTTCCATGAAGGTTTTGTTTTTGGCGTAGAGGAGACCTCCTTCTTCCCCATGAGAGAGGAAGCAGACAATTAGGCACTCATGTTCTTCAAGTTCTGGCGATTGAGAAACTGCAATCAGAGTAGTAGATAATCAGTTTCAGCTATACAGCGTGTGTAAAAAATAAATGAACTATTTATAAATGTATATATAAATGTATAATATAAAGCGATAAATATATGAACTATGTATGGTATGAGCTGTGATAAATGAACTACTTTATTTAAAAGAGTGGGGAAACTCTTTTCATCATCACTTCCCACTTCCGTTGTTCAGCATCATTGCAACATTGCATTAATCTTTAAGATAATTATGGGAATGCGTGGAAAGTTCTGCAACAAAATTGTGATTTTTTCAATGATTTTTTTGGCTTGAAACTGCGTTTTTTTTATCTCATGTAATATGTTTTCTCTGGTGCCCTCTTCATCATATCTTTTTAAAAATTCTTTTAACTGGTGATATCGCCTTCCATTTAGCATTTTAAAAATTCCGAAAAATTTGATTGCAGAACTTTCCACACACCCCGTATAACACTTCGGAGAGTTACGGCAACATAAATTCCAAAGTAGGAAACATTAGGACAATTGTCGTCTCTGGGTTGGCACCTTGAGATTAAGAGGTTTGAGAACGGACTTACTTTCATACAATTCTTCCTTGATGCTCTGGTATTTAAGGTTTTTGTATGTTTTGACGGAGAATCCTCTGTCTTTGAATACGCGTGTCAGATTGTTCACGTCTTTTTGCACTCCTTTGCGAGGGGGAAGCTGAAGATACTGATCGAACTCCTCGTAACAGAAAATTATGGCCCATCCCCTGTCTTTTCCACCGCTTCCCTTCATCTTGTAGCAGTCCAGCTTGTCAGGTATTTTAGGTTTCCAAAGGTGGTCACGACTAAGGAAGCATACATGGACGAACAAGAACATCATTAATTTATGGGTGTGTTTTGCATACTTCGAGCGAGCGCTTCAGAGTATGTATTTCATATCTGAATTGATCCCATTAGCTTAACCCCGGCCTCGGGGAACGCTCACTTACCTTTTCAATTCATGAATTGAATCATACATTCTTATATTTATGCAATAACAAGTTAGTCTGTTCTCCAAGAGTCCTTTATCAAATGATAAGTTTAATAGAACCAGTAGTGAGAGCGAGAGGATATAAAGGAAAGTGAAAAGATGAGAACGGCTTTCCTACAGTTTATCAGATTTGGAAAGGAGGTTCCCAAATCCGAGAAGAGGAAATGGGGTCGAGGACGAGAAGGGAGGAAGGAAGGGTGTATCGGGTAGATGTGTCGCTTCAATCCTCTTTACGTCAAAAAAGGATTGAGATCTCACTTTGGAGGGTTACATATTTTTAAGCACGGCCATTTGACTTGGTAATGGCTTATCCATGTATTATAATAACATAGGCGGGGAAGTACATTTTTAAAGGCCTTCCCCTTTATTCCGCAACTCCACTCGTCTCCCCTTATTAGTTTGATTTATTTTTTTTTCTTCCGAGATAGCGTTTGTCCAGAAGTAACGACGTAACCACTGGCGGTTAATTGGCTCTTCACTGTTAGAGAATGCGTGGGTCTAAGTTGTGGTAACATCATGGTAAGCAACATATGGGAGGGAGAGTTAATTTTAATTTCAGGACGGGAAGGCATTACTAATTTTAGGTATTTATCATTTGGAAATTATCGTATCGCACGCAATAAGGCGTTAGCACGGATCCACTTGGGCACGGCTAGAGGTATCTTGGATCACGGGTTTAATTACTGACTTACTTTTAAATGAACTCTGAATGCAGTGCTTTGCGATGAAACACCAATAGGTAATGGCCCAGTTGGTAGCTCGATAGCGACAGAGTGAACGAAGGGGGACCGGGTGGGAGCTCCGCTCCCCACTTTTTTTTGGGTGAGAATGAGAAGTTCCGAACTTCCGGGGAGAAGGGACGAACATAGAGAAGAGAGGGGAGGGAGAATAGGAGGGGGGTTCATCCCTTTTGCTTGAGACAAGAGATGACCGAGCCCTCAGTTTCCAGGAACAATCCTATTCGAAACCCAGTAATTGACAGTATGGGTAGATATTCTCGGAATGGAAAACTGTAAAAGATGGCTGTGAAAGCCAAGCACATCAAGCTTGTTGAACCAACCCAAAGTTGAATTCAACTAAGATCTCATCAACCGGAGCGTAACTGAACACTGAAATTTGAGTAGCTCCATGAGAATGCTGCCGAGTGTGAACTCACGATTACCTAAGCATCTTGTAATATTTATTTTTTCTGCTCGCAAGGCAAGGAGGCAATTTTGACCCCCTTTTATGTTCTGGGAACACTGCTTCTCTGAGAAACGACTACCATCCAATGAGAACCATAAAAAATGGAATTTCCATTCAAATTAGGAAATTTTTTTAAAGGAATACGTCTCTGATGACTATCATTCGAGATATTATTCTAGAAGATTTTCATATTATCCAAAGCAATTTTGTGTGAAGGGATGATCATGCCTCTCATGACAATGTTAAACTTATTACAACTTCCAGAAATGAAGACAATACATTTCCATCATGAATGAGGTGAACTTGAGATCTATTATGGTTTACGTTGCTTTACTAAAACTGAATAACTGGATTCAAATATATTGAACTGTCATGCGTATAAAGGATATTTAAAAACCCATTTCGCTGTAAAATTCAACGTATTTTCTGCGTCGTATTTGACACAAATCATTTTCTTTCGCACGAAAGTTTTAGAACAAATATCAACATATAATGCTCTCTCCATTGTTATGCAATTCTCTTGCATACAAATCGTGGAAAAATATAAATTGGCTGTAGGTAAGTTATTTCGAAAAAAAATTCCATACCTAATTCATTATGAAAGAGAATGAAACCTTTCTTCGAAATGTAGGCAGAACAAGTCAGATACACATTCAAAAGGTAAGTTGATCGAACTGAAATTGATGGAAATATATACTTCTCATTTAATTCGTCTAGGTTCCATTCCAAGAAAAAACGGAAATGCAACGAAATCACAAGGGCCAATATCTGAACCACGAGGGACTCGCTCATCCACGTCTCGTAAGATAAAATCTGAAAATGAGATTTACCTGGGATCACTTGAGTCTTCATCTTGCTTTTTCCCTCCTAGTTTTGAAATGACTTTCCTGATCGAGTAGCCCCTGTGATTTTCCAAAATGTTTATGTATCACAGAATGGCATGAAGTTTAAAGTTTTGTCTAAGCATTTTACCTCGCATCGGTCTCGTCAGAGACAGTTGCTGATTCGACACTTGCCGAACTCGATTGAGGCTCTGCAAGCAGTTGGACTCCGTCCTCCCTGTCAGAGCTGCTTCCGATGGGATGCTGTTGTTCTTCCCTGGAATTAGAACGCAATGGGGATCTCATTTCTTGTGGAAAATCGCGTTTGTATGTGGATTCGATGTTACCGTTGACAGGGTTACTTAGAACTTCAGAACTGGTCCTTACTATTAATTCGCATTCAGACGCTGATGACGCACCATCACTTTGATCTTTGATCAGTTTGATCTTTGATCAGATCACGAACTTTGATCAGTTCGGATGAAAACAATATTCTCTTTTTTTTTCTTGGAGGAACTGGTCCCACCGTTTCAAGCAGTGGGACAAATTTCATCAGCTCTGCTGACCAGGTCGTAAAGAGACCAATATGTTCCCAAATGTAATATGATCTCCGTGGAGAAACCTTCCATTATGTAAGTTGCTGCCCCAGATAAAATACATGAAAATTTAAACTTGAAGACCAACGGTTATGAATAAGATTAATCTCAGCAACCTATTCCAGAATGTGAAATATGAGGAAGGAATTTCCTGGATTTTGATATGGCAATCAGTATCATATTAGCACGGTTAAGCGAAAAAGAAATTGCAAGAAATCTTGATGACCATGCCGCCACCAGGAAGAGTCATTATCCGGTCTGTTCTGTAGAACATTGCACCTGGAAAAACTAAATTTATCGAAAAAAGAGACAACAGTTAGTAAACATGATGAGGATGGGATTAGGCAGGCCAGCACTTGAAAAGGAACTGCGCACTGAATTCTTATTTTCCGTGAGAAAACTCCGCTATTTGAACACTGTTTAACAGTCTTGTTCATGTTTAGGAGCTCATCATCAGCAGTGTGGAGGGAATGTTCTGAAAAGTTTATAATCATGCAATAGCGAACAAAACAGTAATGCCACATGCAGACCGTTTGTACGTAAAGACAAACTGAAGTTGCGCTATTTTACTCAGAATCTCATTACTTGGAAAACCGGATACCGCGAAATAACGTGAAAAATAAAATTATAAAATCTCAAGGAGTATGTTCTTGCGAACGAGGGAGTTGGAAGGGAGGTATTTCAAGTCGTTGAATACATGAAAGTGTCGTATGGACTTCATGCAACAAATAATCCAATAGGATGGGTTTTCACAAGTATGAAAATCGTAGGAAATTCTTTTGGATACATTTAAGAAACATTAAAAGATGTACCGTTATACTGGAAGCATCGGATCTAAAGAGACTGAATTGATACTCACGAACACTTTGCTGCACCGCTTTTTGGTGGACAGTGAATGGTCGCCCCCGAACGTGTCTCATTAGATTTTCGGAGTATTCAAACAAGATCGCAGTGTCAGCTTCTTAGGGCATACATGGAAATAGCAGGGAAAGACAGAACTTAATGTCCTTTAAGAGGTTTATTCTGTAGATACGAAAGAGCAAACTATGCAATGCTGTTTTGATGAATCTATGTAACTAAGGGTGTACTCTTCCCGTAATATAAATCATGCTAGATTTTTAAAGTAATGTTTGGGTTTGAAAATTCGAAACTTTTTATGGGTGGTTTAAACTTGACGTGTTCTAATGCCTCAGATTTCTCATTCTCATTGACTTCAAGCAGAATGCCTCAGATTTCTCATTCTCATTGACTTCAAGCAGAATGCCTCAGATTTCTCATTCTCATTGACTTCAAGCACTTTCCCAGTACCACCTGCTACTGTACAGGTATAAGAACTGGATAGAAATTGAACGAGTCCTGAGAAAACGGAGTGGGTGCGAGTGGGTCTTACTAGGAGTAGAAGGGTTTCTTTACCTGCCAGTTGGCGAAGTTTGGGACTGAGGAGCATCATCAGCACCTACAAGGAAAGAAAAGAACGGTTACTCACAATGGGATGATTTATCAATTCAGCCGCGAGTACGGGAAAAAAAAGCCAAGGAAGGAACCGGGAACCCATTAACCGACGTACTTTCCAAGAAGTCCAAGATGTCCTGTCGGTCCAGTGCTTTCAGCGCATTTAGGAGAACATCATAGTACACATTGGGATTCTTCGCGAAAAGGATGTCGAATATCTCATCGAAACGTTTCTCCGGTTCCGATATGGCTTTGATAGTTTCTACCTCGCCGAAGCGGAACACCTTCCCGTCAGTCTCATCCAAAGCTTCCAGTAAATCATCGCTTTTCAAGTTAAAGCGTTCCCGAAGTTGTCTCCAGTTCTTCCTAATGTTATTCCAAGTTCTTTCGTTCTTCTTCATGTTCTTTACCTCTGCCATCGAATCCTAAGTCCTTCACACACTTCTTCAAAGATAGGAGACGAGAATATTTATCTAAATCGTAATGGTCATATCTAAATCATCCAATCCATCCGGAATTTCAGTGGTATGCGAATCGTCGCAGGGCCCCTTACCTCATTTGTATTCTTAGATATTTTTTCCATATAGACCAATATATGAATCAGAGACAAGTCTAGAATTATCTTGGTTGATGAATTCGTTGTTTTACATGCTAAATGATTCATTGAACAATTTTTTTCGGGGGGGGGGAACTGAACCCCCAGCACCAATTCATCCACCTGAGTACGCCACTCGGCAAAATTTCTGATCATGTCTCAGTTTATCTAATGGTTGAACACCATGAAATGGGAGCAATGACAGATCCAATGAGCCAAGCCAAAATCAAAAGCAGCGTTCGTCAGAGTTTCAGTACACCTTCACATTGTGAGGGCGTGATGGTTCCAGATTTGAGACGATAGTGGATAGTTGGTCGCGTCGTAGGAGGTTAACTATTACGGTTAACTATTAACTCTGACTGGAACTCGTACGGTGTGAAGCTTCGTGGAAATGCTCGCGGCACGACGCTTCTCCGTGCGCAACGAACTCGAGGCCATTTAACCGGTTTCAGGTCCACTTGAGACCGGTTAAATGGTCTCGAGTCCACTGCGATTAAATTGCCGTGCATCGTTTCGCTGTTTCCACACTTTCGCCGTCTTTCACTTTCCGCTAGCCGCCTTTCAACTGCGGAGCGCTTGTTGGGGCGACCCTCTCCGTTTATCCAGCGCATCTCATCTCGTTTCTCATCTCAAAGTGGATGAGTCTTGGAGCTCCCATTACAGGGATCCTTCGAAAAAGGGCAAATCAGGCCCAAATGAGGGAGATGGAAACATTACATTTTATTTTATCAGTTTAGACTCGAAGGGGTATCATATTTCTTTCAATCGAACATCACAGTACGACTTTCAATATTAATGAGTGACGAGGAGAATTTTGTTTTACTTTTCCAAGACGATTTTGGCTGCGAAAGCGGATGCAGCAAAAAGCAAATCACGGTGAAAAGACCAATAATTTCATGAAAAACGCGAAGAAATTGCCATCGAATACTCACAAGTGGCTGAAGATGTTCGTGTAGAGGGAATTCCTCGTGAGAGCAAAGGTGAGTCGCTCCGAAGCAACGACTCCCGGGATTGTCGACAATTTGCATTTTCCCGCCGACACGGAAACGGATTCCGACGGTCCCACGAAAGCGTAGTTCGGGTTCTCGTCCGTCCTCCTCACCGCGTCTTCCAATGTTCCGTACAAGTCCTTCTCTTTCCCGAGGATCAACTTTTCATAGATCTCAGCCATGGGTGCCTCATTCGACTGTGAGGGGGGTGTGGGAAGAATCGACCCTTCGAAAACGGAATCCGCTTTACAAGTCCGAAACGCAGGGAGTCCCTTACCACATACGCATGATAGAAAAGGTCGAAATCCGAGGATTCTTTCATGATCCCCAGTTTCCAGGAGGATCCAAAGAAGCGAATTTCCTCCCAGTGTGAGAACGGGAGCGCGTCCACGTCCACGGCGAGGAACGACGTGACCACCGCCGAGTAGCTGTTGACCAGCAGCAGTCCCAGCATGAAGCTGAGCCACACGGTGAAGCGAGCTGCTGGGTGCTTGGGCTCTCGCGGTATACCTGTCATTTAAGTAAAATTATATATAATATACGCTTCAGGTACCGATTACGAGGTACCCTTTTTTTGCGGTCTTAAAAATGAGGTTTACCAGCTTGCTGGTTTGCCCTAGGGTGAAAATTCCGCAGCAACAAACAGCAGAGCAAGTAGCGAGAGAAAAAAAAGAAAGAAAATTTAACAATTGCGAACAAAAACTGTTAAGACAAAACTTGGAGCGGTTCTGTGCAATTGTTAAGACCGGCAAACACTTCATTCGTTCAAGGAAGGCAGGCTGTCTTATTTTTTGAGTAATTAATGAACGTTTCTCTCCACCTCATCACGAGTTGTTCCTTACTTGGGAGATTTGTCATCGACGATTGCCTACCTTGCATGCAGGAGGCGCTCCAAACGACGAGAAGATCGGTGGAAAAGGTCCAACTTTGGAGATTTCCATCTTCGCCTTCATTCGCTTGGACGAACCAGAGCGTGAGAGCGAGGACGACGATGCCGGCGAGACTGGCGAGCCAGAGTCCCAACGAGAACGGCCTCCAGTACGACATCCACGCGTTCTTCTCTTGCTTCTTCGCCGTGTACATTCTGGGCCTGGGAACGGGATCGGAGGTCATCGCGGGATCCCGAGATTATCTCCTGAGATTATCGGGATGGGACGGGTGGGTACTCGTAGTCGTGGATGGGCGTGGGGAAGTCCATGTATTGGGATCTCGTCTTCGTGATGGTCAATTCCGAGACGACCACGTCGATCTCTGCCCTCTGCAGCATCCCGAACAGTCCGTCGTATTCCTCCCCCTCCGCGTCGAGACTCCCAATGTTAAGCGCCGGGTTCGCTTCCATGAGTCGACGGTCCTCGAATCTGGGAATGGCCAGGGGGAAGAATGCTTTCTTCCGTCCGTGGCATTTAAGGAGCTGAATCGAGGGACACCTCACGTGAAGTTGAGGACTTGTTGCAAGAGCATCCAGGTTTCTCCAAATACTCCAGTCATGGTCTGTTTCTCGTTGTCGATGTACAGGACGAAAGGGTCGCTCTAGGGTAGGGCGATTCAAGAACGGTCATCTCCATTCGGGAATATCTTTAATAATCATCTCGGTCCCGTATGTCTTAATTAGCTCATTTTCTTTGGTATCTGGGTCGCTGTTGCTCGCAAAATCTGCGCTGCAAGCATTGCACTTTACGTGTGGAATTATTTGAGGAATTTCCGAGAATTATTTGAGGAATTTCCGAGACGCTACTGCGCCCAATTTGAGGGGCATTATTTTTTTTCCCCAATTTGAGAAAAAATTCGTGTTTTTACCCTCACCTCAATCGAGCAGACCTTGAAATGGACTCCGGCGAGATCCTTGCGTCTCTCGTACTTGTTCTTCTCCATCAGGAACGTGAGTTTCTGCCCGTCCCAGGTCCCAACCTGGAAGGACAAGGGCGCCGTCACTCGCGAGGCGCCAATGCTATAATAATAATAATATTATTATTATTATTGTAGGACTGCATCCGGATCGAACCCTTTGGTAGACGAGAGGGATGTCGAGTCCTTTTCGGTACGCTTCGTGGAGGGAGGCTTCTGCGTCGCCCTCCAGTTGGTCCTGCCTGGCGGCGTAGAGATTCGAGTCCAGGAAGATCGGCAGTTCTCCGAGCTGAGAAATGAGTTTCTCTTCTGATTCTAGGGAGTCGTGGAGAACCAGCCAGACGTCGTTCGAACGAAAGGACGGCGCCTCGATGCCCTGCGTTTAAGAAACACCACCTATTTGGCTTAAAACGAAAACCAAGCGATCGATTTTGTCTCGAGAGCGGTTGTAGGGACTTACGGATGGTCGGAGATCCTGATGTTCGTTGTAGAAAAGTACGTATAAACACTTCCTTGGCTCTCCAATGGCTGCCAGATGCACTGCTTCCCGACCCGTTACGCAATTTACCACGTATTTCTTGCTCAGGGGGGCCAGCAGCCTATGGGCCTTGTCCCAACCTAAGACTATGGAACGGGAGCAGAACCGCCAAAGCCAAGATCTTGAAATAATAAATTCGCTCATGAAAATATAAATCAGCATCATTATTTTTTTTAATTAGGTGAGATTATTAAATGCCCTACTCATATAATTACATGTAGAATACTCCTTCAGCAACTGCAGGATTGCGAGGAGAAATTGGTTACACTTCTGCCTGCAACTTGACAGCTCACTCACCAGATGAACATTAATTTATTCCACAAACATATCATGCACTGTTAGTAAAAATAGTTTATCTTTTATCTCCTTAGAAGTGTTTCAACTGCAACTCATATTTATTCTTTATGGATATCATATTTAGCCCTTTTGATTGGTTAAATTTAATATCTTTTTAAAAAGGTTAAAAAATTAACCATCGAGGATAAATATATGACCTTTGCCGTATACATGTTATCACGAAGGCGAGAGGCCTTCCTCTAGCTCCAATTAGTGCCCTAGACGTCACTCCTCAATTACATTATCCAGTCGTGAGGACAAATGAGTTCAGGAATGGTTTGAGGACACATGGATTTATTGAATTCAAATGTTACATGGAGATGCAGTGATTATGTACGGGCTACTGTTTGTGAAGACAAGCTTCCTTTGGTCAAAGTTCCAGGAATCTGTCTCGAATATGCGAATAATGAATGAGGAAGTGTCCGTGTTTATTACTTCCTCTAATGAGGCAAGGCGAATCGCAGGACAAGGTCACATGACAATCCTTTGAGGGAGATTCCCAGGAACGAGGGAAGGACTATTCTATGTACTGTGGGAAACAGTAGCACCATATCTCCATCTAGTGGTCTAAAAATGAACTTTGCATCGCACAAATATCCCTTGCATATGGTGTTTCACCGTCATTTACATTTTCTTCTGCTTAACCATGAAAATGTTAAAATCTGAGCTCTGGTCGGTAACATCTGATTTCTTGAAGAACTATCTCTTCGGGAATAAATATGCAGCCTCAAAAAGGATATATTTATTCATTTTCTTGATGGTCTATTTGATAATTTTTCGAGATAGTTGATAATTGGTCTTATACGCAAAGGTCCATTTTTCATTCATTCCAGGGTTTTATGAAAGTGAGAAACTGGCTCGTCTTCGGGGTGGGTCTCTAAAAGTTCCATATCTTTTAGAGAATACGCACATACCAGATGAACGACAGTCCAACAACTTGATACATATGCCCCACCTTGCACATGCACTACTTTCCCTCGCTTCTAAAAAGAAAAGGCGATCAGGTAAATGTGACCTTAGTTCTTTTTGGGCTGGAGAAGCAATTAATTTTTCTCGAAAGATCATTTCTCCTTTCAGTGTTTCACATATTTAAATTTAAATCACATATTCCCTCAAAATGGATAAATATTTACACATGGATATTCATGGATATTCATTTATCCACTAACAAGATTTATAAAACTCCGAGTTAAATGTTTAACCCTTTCGCTCGAAAAGGATATAAAAAATTCATCGCCTTTAAAATGAGCATCCAATTAACCTTTTTAAATGGTTATTCACATTTATCTAACCATTATTTTAACGGTTTATCCTTCACGTAGGTTAAACTCTGAACCCTTTCTGCTAACAGTGTAGTTATTGACGAGCGTCTCTTCCAATTTTCAGGTTCCCGACACACAGGAGACTGGCAACGTCGGACCTCATGGTTTCTGCAGAGGCTGGACGGGGAAAATCGTCCGACGACTCCAGGGGAATTACGAGATGAGCATGCAGCCGTAAGAGCATTCGTAATGCTTGAAGGCTTACTGGCGTTGGAGCCCCAGGAGAGGCGAAAACGTTCGTCCTTCGAGAGATCCGCACCGGATAATAATTGACCCAAGTAAATGACGATCACGCGAAGTTAATCTATCATCGAGGCATTCAGAGTTTTTAATTTTGTAGTTGATCTTATTGCGGGTTTGGGGACGCATGCTCTCCACTACGGCGGACGATCGAGCCTGGAGCTTTTAGAAGTTGCAGACCTGACACATACCCCTTGGAATTGTCGGACCATTTCCGACGACTTCAAGGAGTATTTGCTTTTCCTCAGGAACCATGCGGTTCGCTATTGCCCATGCATATCCTGGCGTCATTCACAGAAGTTAGAATAGGGTCGATTTAGAATCGTAATCGAGAAGTTAGAATCGATTTTTTTTTTACTATCGGAAAGGAATGCTAATTTTTGCATTCCAACCCCTCGTGTCTCTTTTCTTTCTTTTGGCTCAGAGATGAAAAAGTGACTCACCCTGTTCTTGAAGGCCATCGATGAACGTGGCGCAGTCGAGTCCGTGAAGAGACAAAACCGCCGAGACGAACCCTTCCAACCTCTCCGTCGCATCCCCCCCGGCGACCAAAATCCCCATCAAGCCGAACAGCGCCGCCCACCCCCACCGTGCCACCTCCATGGGTCTCAATGCAGGCAGACTGCAGGCAGACTGCCTCACCGCATTCGCCTTCAGTTCGATTCTGCCTTCCGATAAGTGCGATTGCGACTCGTGCGGAGCCGCGGAAGGCTAACGACTCGAGATGTTTTCCACTACGTCGCACTCGTTATAGAAAATCCATCGTCCACCCATTTGTCGTAATGAGAGCGATTTGGTCACGCACTTGGAGTCACGATGTTTTGGTTTGATAAAAAATAACGACAGTCGTTGGACATATCCTTAATTACAGGATGCACGCGAGCACAAAGGCCACTCGGGCCCCATCCATCTGTTCCTTCCCTTCGGCTTCCATTGGATCTCGGTTGGTGAATACTCCATGCTCCAGCGGCATGGGGGCAAGGGGGGGAAGGGGGGAGGGGGGGGGGGCAGAACGTCTCGGACGAGGAAAGGATCTTGTAATTCTCTTTCTTATGGTTTCGTAATTCTCTCCTTTCTCAAATGAAATTGCCTCATTAATCCCGTCGATAAGAGGAATTTTAATTCCGTTTTCCTGACGTGGAAAGTGTTTCCAAAAATTTTCCAGGAGTCCGCATGTTTTGAGTTTTGTTTTGAGGTTATATGGCTTATGAGTTCCCTGTGGGACATCCTATAGGCCGTGCAATAACCTCTAGATTCCCTCTAGGTGTCTTGGAGCAACAAAAGAAATACCCAACTGGGAATGCAAATCCTGTAGGAATGTTCCAACCTTATCCTCTAACTTGCAGATAAGACTCTATGGAGGCATTCCGGCCCAAGTGGTCGAATTTCGGCTACCTCGGTTGCGCGTCCGGCAGGGATTTGCTTCAGAATATCCATGCACTTGCCGACCCTTGGAAAACTTCCACGAACTCTTTGGCAAGAACTCCCTGGTTCATTTGCGGTGCTGAAACTCTGACCTTTTTATCGCTATGGGCAGCAGACCCTCTTTCCCAGTCTTTACACGTCCCCAGGTATAACCCTTGGAGTCCCCTTTCATCGCGCTGAAGGAAGGATTATTTCCTCTCCAGGGTGAGATCTTCGCCCTTACGTCGGAATCCCGACCCCTTCATCGATCGGCACTTTTTCCTATCGATCAAAACCCTGTCCGCTTCGTCCGTAAAGTCCATCTCCATCACTTTCCATGCAAGCCTATGAGTGAAATATACGGATATGGAAACGGGATGGTTACGACAAGACCGGCGGCATCTTCGCGATCAAAAGATAAATATTTCTGTTCTATCCCACCCAGATGGGATCCCGCCGCTTTCACCATAAGGAGTTACTCTCCTTCGCGCGTAGGAACAAGGGACTCCAAGTGTTGCAAGTGGGTTTTCCGGCGTGAAAGTTCATATCGAGCTGTGAACATCCCTTAGTGGGGGGGGGGGGGGGGNTCCGGCGTGAAAGTTCATATCGAGCTGTGAACATCCCTTAGTGGGGGGGGGGGGGGGTTTGCGCAAGGCGTAGAACGACTCTCACTCCCACTCTCAAGAACGGATCTGACAGTCGCAGAGACCGGGCACTCCAACCCGCGAGAAGTCTTCCATAAACTGTTTCTCGGGAATTCCCGAGCTCTGTCAGCAGCCCTAAAACTCAGCGGCCCTCTCAACGAAACGAGCAGCAGCACCTCTATCCCGTTCTCGAGAATGACCTGTGGAAGACTTCCACGAACTTCGGATCGGTCAAGGCCAGGGGGGTCAAACTGCCGGCCCGCTACTTGATTTCGTCCGGCTTGCAAAGTCCTCTTCGACGGTTCGTTTTGGAAAAGTATAGGCTTCTTCATCCTGTTAGCAATTGAACTACGGTGTAAGATTTGCACATGTGGACCCAACCACTCCCAAAGGGTTCCATGCGGCCGCCAGCTTAATCAAGTTTGATATTTCAAGCCCAGGCTAAGCGTTATTACGCAGTCAGGGCCGCCAAATGGAATTGTGAGGCCTGGGGCAATATTCGCGTAAGGGCCCCCTTTCCCCCCTTTCCCCCCTCCCCCCCCCTCCCCCCGGTTTTAACACAGTCAATAAGACGTATATGTCGCATGCAAGTTGACCCTGCAGTACAAGTTAAACTTGCATGGTGATTCATCGTGCCAGTTGAACTTGCACCGCCGAATCGTCCTGGGTTAACTTGAACAGTCCGTCCAGGTTAAACAGTCCATGCAGGTTAAACAGTTCATCACGGCGTGCAGGTTGAACCTGCATGGGCAAACCCTGGTTCGTGTTAACCTGTATTGCACATTTTCCTGCAAGTTCAAAGCGTCTCTTCATCTCGGTCAGAATAATGATGGTATGCCTTCTGCTATCGGCACTTGCTTTATTTTCGAGCCAGCATGTCAAATACCACAAAATGAATTAGTTGATTACCCCTATGAATAAAATGGAGAAACTGCTTCGTGATGTCAACTTGTCCATAATTAAAGAATCTGCAACAACTTCGTCGTGGCCTGCATTCAAGCCTTTCTTGTTAAGCACACCTTTTTCATTTTCATTCATTTGTCGAGACACGTCTACGACCCGTGGCATCGAGAGTTGCCATTATTAGCTACGCACTTGCCCCTTTATGTTTAAATGCATCGTTCGCAGTGGCGAAATCTGCGGGGGGAAGGGGGCGAGGACAGCTGCCCCGCAGTCGCCCTCTTAGAGGCAATCATCTGTTACCCTGCCCCCCCCCCCCCGGCCCTTCAGCCAAAACACGCCACTGATCGTTCGCCTTCTTCACAAGCACTAGGACGTCCTAGTCATTCAGGGATGAAGAGAAGCTGGAGGATGGTCTTTCCGTACTCCTGCCGAGCATTCTTCTCGTTTATCTTTGCAGCCTTGACCTCCGCGACGAGTCTCTCGTGCCAGTCTATCGGGAACACTGGGTCGTTTGGAGACTTGGTCTTCTTGTAGAACTTCAACAGATAATCATTAAACTGGGCTTTCGCGCTCATCATGGATTTGTAGGCGGATTAATCACACGAATACCACTAGAGCTGTCGAAGGAACGAGAACGTTCTCTCTCACTTCTATCGCGCTGAACAACCGGTGAGAGAACGAGGCTGTCATCGAAAGCGAAAGGATGAAGGTGCCCCTCCCCCCACCTTGTTGTTTTCCCAGGCGCACTACCTGTGGTCTCGATAAAAATCATCTAACAGTATATTCTTAGGGGTCTGGATATTCCTCTTGAACTTGCACAAAAGTCCATCGTGTGGGTTAAGTTGCATGAGAAAAAAGGCATGCATTGGGAAAATCAGGCGGGTTCAAGTTGCACGGTATATTTTATGCAAGTTCAACAACTTGCACGGAAAAGTCAACATGCATACGACATATACACGGAGGGGGCCCCCCTACACCAGGCAAGAAACATATTGCCCCTTTTGCCCCCCCCCCCCCCCCCCCCCCCCCCCCATTGCCCCCTTTTCCCCCCCCCCCCCCCCCTTCCCTCTCTACGGTCCTGAACATAGTTAGGAATCCACGAGTTCTGTCAGCACTTGAACACTCTACGCGGCAGCCGCTCTCTCTTCCGTTCTCGATGACGAATCCAACAGTCGCGAAGGAGACAAATCCACTAACTCCGGGACGGCTTTAGTATGTAGTATTTCGAGCGTATCATTTCCGGATATTCACGAGTTCAGTCGGCGGCCCTTTCACACAGCAGCCGCAAGGACATTGTACGTCTTGCACATCCCCCCCCCCCCCTTTCCCAAGGGGTATTCACGCCGACGAACGTTTAATGAGTGGCACTCGTATCTATTAATAGTTTCGCGACCCTGTGCGTATCGTCGGTAAAGTCAATCTCCACCACTCGTGGAGGCCTGATTGAAAAACACGGAGAGAAACGAGATGGTTACTACGCGGTCGACGTCGTCTTTCCCATCCAAGGGTACGCGCTCCTGTTCCATACAGGTGGGATCCCGACGTTTTCACCCTCGGGAGTCACTCTCCTCGTGAGAGTGTCGATTTGATATGTGGGCGGGGTTCCGATTGATGAAGGGGTCGGGATCCCGATATATATATGGAAGGAGATCTCATCCCGGCGAGGAAGTCATCCTGCCTCCAAGGATAAAAGCGGACTCCAAGTGTAATACGCGGACGTTTAACACGTCCATGCGGATCAGTCTGTATCGGATGTGTGAGCACCCCTCTAAGTAGGGAGGGGGGGGGGGGGACGGGATCGGGGTGTGCGTAGAATGTCTCTCGTGTTATAGTGTTAAGAATGGCATGGAGAGTAAAAATTGAATGGATTTGGTATGGTGGTGTAGGGGCAGCACAGCAGACATACGTCCAAAAGGCCCCGGTTTCGATTCCGGCCCGCTCTATTGTATTCTTTCGTCCTCTTTTGCCATCCAAACTCTTCTCTCCCCCACCCCTCCGTCTATTACGTTCTCCAGACAGCCGTAACGCTGAAAAAGCGTGCTCCCCCTGGAGAGGGAGACGTAAGCCGGCAGGCATGCTACCGCACATGCGCACATTGACTTGCTGACATACAGACGCCACATTCTATAGGATGTATTTTCCCCGGGGAAAAGAGACCCCAGGGGTCAAAGGCCATCTTAAACCCTAATTGGGCTAATAAGAAAGTGCATTGGGGCTGAAATTAAGGCTAAGAAAACGTTAAATCTGATTTAACTGCTGCACTGTTCGTATTTTTATTACTAAAAACTAGTGGATTTTGTGATTTTGCAATAAATTCCAAAATTTACATGAATACTTCAAACAATGGGAGTAACAGCTTTTGCTACATTGCAATACTAGCCAGCAACAATGTAAAAAGCTCTATTTCAATTAGTTACTTGGTTTAAAATCCTTGGAAATTAAATTTGAAAAGTCCAAATTCGCCATTTTTCACCCACTTTGACGGCTTATATTTATTGTTTTAAACAGGATAAAAACTCGAAATATGTGCCAAATGAAAGCTCATTCCAAGTTCTTTCCGTGGATGTATGACCTACGCTGCTACTTTGAAATGTCGAGTTTGTGGGATTTTTCGAAGGAAAGAACTTGCCATTCTTCCAACCACCATTTGATCACTAGAGCAGGAATGCAACCATGACATTACAGATCGGAATGTATGCATCTATCCAACAATCGAGTTCGTTCTTTAGAGTAGAATAAATTCCTTACGAAAGCAAAAGTTACAACCAAGTCCCAAGAATATCCGTCCAGGACCAACTCCCGAGTGAAATCGGATCGGAGCCCATTTCGAAGCAGAGTTCAGGGAGGTCAGAGACTCTGCTTCCTGCACGGTTTCGTCTCCTCATTCCGTCACGAGTCTATATCGGGAGTCATTCGGGAGTCTATGCCGGGAGTCATTCGGGAGTCTATGTCGGGACTCATTCGGGAGTCTATGTCATTATCACGGCCATCGACTGCTCCCCACTTTCATCGGGATCCATTGCCGTCGGAACCCAGAAGGGTATTGCACATTTATCGAGAAGCCAAATTGATTCACAGAAACTAAGTGTTGAAGAAAGTTAAAAATGAAACTTACTCTGGAATGAAATCCTCGCAAGCATAAATTATGTTTTGAGGTTCGAACCTCCAAGGTTGCACCGGGAAGAGAAATAAAATAAGACATCGGGTTGCAGGAGTAACTTCAAAGAAATATCGGAATCGTGCGAAAGAGGCAAAGGAGAACTCACTTTTTTCAGTTTCGAGCTTGACATTTATTTTTGGAATGCTCAGTGGTAACGATTACGGCCGAAACAATTTGTGGGATGGACTTGAATATTTTATTATCTCCCTCGAAAAATCCATCGAAGAATCTACTTACGAAGATGAAGAAGGAATGGTGAAAATATATGCCTTGGCGCTCCGGCATGGCAATCGATTTCTTCCGTCGGATACGAGCCAGTAAAAATATTTCTCTAAGGGCAACTATTATTCTCACGACCACACGCCTTTCAACGGTTTTCCATTGACTGTCACGCACATCCGTCTGGATTCCCCGGTCTTTCGCGCACATTGCCCACTTGTCTCCACCGCGAATCCAGGCAATTTGCAGTTCCGATTCCGCGTCGAGTCTCGAGTGGAACCACGAGCCACACTTGCCCAGGAAGCGATTGGTAGTTGTGTTTCTCGCTTTCACTATTCGGTAGATGTTTCTCATTTTGCGGTGAGAATTTTCAGAGCAGCGAAATCGTCCTGAATGCTAATCGTTTCAGCAACATCAAAACTCCAGAGGGTGAGAAAGGGAAACGTTCCCGAGAACCTGCTTCGTTAGCCCTCTCCTAGACTATCCTATGAGTCTTAAAGCTGAGAGTCTTACAAAGAGAGCACCTATTGACCCTTTCCGGTTTTATTTTTCCGGCTAGAAACATATCTGACAACTAGATCTATCTTCTGCAGAAAATCTGCCAAGTTCGGAATTCCTTCCCCCCCCCTTCCCCCTTCCCCCCCCCCCCCCTCTCTCTCTCGGGTCAAGCCACTTCTTCGCATCGTGGAGGCGTCATAAATGTCCACCTCTCCTCAAAATGCCGAGGCGGACGGCTCAGACCAGCATCGAAACGATAACACACTGCAACGAAAGAGTTCTCCCTCGGATCGCCCAGTCATTCAAATCATCTCTAAAAAAAAATACGCGTCGGGTCGATAAACGCCCGCAAACCGCAATTCATACTCCGCAAAACAACGCACAACACTCCACGATCGCTGAAGAATCTCCTCGTCGCCGAGAGCCGAGTCAGCGCCTCGAAATTCTCCGAATCCCCACCGATTACTCGAGTCCACGAACCCCTAATGAAATATTAATATTCAATCTGCAGTCTGCCTCCAATCATCTCCCGCGATCTCCGCCCTGCACCGTCATGACCTCCACGCCTCGCGGATCGGCGCGCGAAGGGGAAGGGAAGGGAAGTGGACCCAGAAGGATCCCCGCCGTCCCCGCCGCGACAACATGCTGCCTCCCATCGCGTCGTCTGCCGTTCTGACGTCCATCCACTTCCTCTCCCTCTTCCTCCTCCACGATCCTCTCGTCGCCGGTTGGTCTCGCTCTTCTGACCTCCTCCGTGTGAATGACAGGGAGTGCAGGCAGCTTTCCGACATCCTCCGCGTGAATGACAGGGAATGCAGGCAGCTTTCCGACATCCTCCGCGTGAATGACAGGGAATGCAGGCAGCTATCCGACATCCTCCGCGTGAATAACAGGGAATGCAGGTAGCTTTCCGGCATCCTCTTCGTGAATGACAGGAAATGCAGGCAGCTTTCCGACATCCCCCGTGTGAATGACAGGGAATGCTTTCCGATTCCGTTCGTGCAGTGCGTTTCATGGATTTCGGATTCTATGGAAGAGGAGTGCGACGCAAGGATTAAATGCAGCTCTGGTGATGTGAACAGTCAAAACTTCCTTTACGTAACAGAACATTACAGACTTCGCATAAACTTTGCATTAATAATTAAATCACAATAATGATTAAAGCCTTCCCCCCCCCCTCTTTTCTACTTTTTTTTCTATTTTTGCACAGTGACTATTTGCTCGAACGCAAATGAATGCCCGATGAATTAGGGGCCACTCTTGAAATTCCTGTAAATTCAAAGCGAGGACATACGTGTTCATGAAATTTTAAGATCCGGTTTTTGCTAGGTTGTGATCAACACCAATGCATATTTAGAAGCAATTTCCCTAAATATGACATTTCCGTGCAAAAATGCCAATGATCGAATGCCATTCGAAGGATCTTTTTTTTTAAATTGAATTTTATTGAATGTAATTTTTTTATTTTAAACATTTCTCTGGATTCCTTTAATTAATTTCGAACAGCTTTTGCAAAAATTTAATAGAAAGATTGAATTCAAAGTATTCAGGTGGATTTCCTCAACGAACGACCAAAATTTACCCGAAAAAATTTTAACTTGAATTTCATTTGGATCAAGGCTAAAAGGGCAAGCGATTCCCGACTCTCTTCTGCGACTGAATTAAATTCGAGTTTGGATTATTTCTTGAAATTAAGGAAATAAGTAGACAGAGTTGCTTTTCGATTCTCCAATAAGTTGTTTATGGAGCGAGAATCTCATTTATATTTTTTTAATATTTAAAATGTATCTAATTTTATTATTATTTGAATCTAGGCTGTTCGCTCTTGAGGTCTCTTCGCGAATCAGTCCGAAATAAAACTAATAAATTACCTTACTAGATTTGCGAGCGATACGCTGTCATTTGACTCAGCCAATTGCTTGTTGTCGTTGAGCCAAAACCAGCGTTAACCGCCGAGTTATGGGTCATTTCGTCTCATGAAAGGCTTATTTAATGGAAGAGGGCGATTTCCGAGTTGGGATCGCGAACGCCGCGAACACGGGCGTCCATCGCGCGTCCAGCGAGCCTGGCGACCCTTATTGGCAGTTGTTGCCACTTTTTGCATGCGACGAAAATAAGACAAGAACAAATGAAGCGTCGAACTGAATCCGGTGCCACGCAGATGCAGAATAATGCGGGACCTTTGATGACTTTCGATGAAGTGACTGTCGATGAAGTGACTGTCGATGAAGTGACTGTCGATGAAGTGACTGTCGATGAAGTGACTGTCGATGAAGTGACTGTCGATGAAGTGACTGTCGATGAAGTGACTTTCGATGAAGTGACTTTCTACCCCTGGAGTCGGTCGGCCCCCGTTCGCCCATTTCTTCCATGCGTTTTTCCGACTCTCGCAACCCTTAACGTTCGTGCAAAAAAGAAAATCTGCCTCTGTCATTCTTTTTTTTTCAGGGCCATCTTCAGATGATTGGCTTCGTCGGTCGAATTTTTGTAGGCTTATTCTTCTCGGTCTGTTCTCATTGGCACTCTGCCGACATGCGAGGACCCATCAAAAAGTTCCAGGACTGGCCTTCCTACGTGAAAACTAGGGTCTTAGGTTTCAGTATGCTCCCCTTCGAAACAGCTCCCCTTCGATTGCGATACACTTCTCGCCATGTTTGTAAAGAGCTTGGAACACTGGCTGTAAGCCATATTGGCAACCACCTTCGACGCGTTGGTCGCAGCTGATTGAAGAGCGCCTGCGTCGTCGAAGCGGCGGCCTTTCATATGGAACTTCATCTGGGAAACAGCGTGAAATCACAAGTCGCAAGGTCCGGTGAACAGTGAGGATGTGGGACCAACTTCTCTCCACGATTGGTCATTAATAATTCGGTTCTCAGCTTCGTCGACGCAGGCGCTCTCCAATCAGCTGCGACCTCCGCGTTGAAGGTGGCTCCCGATAATACGGCCTCTGTTCCATGCTCTTTACAAACGTGGAAGTGCATCCCAATCCAAGGGAGCTATTTCGAAGGGGAGCATGCCGAAAGCTGTACCAACTTTTCAGGAACTTTTTGATGGGGCCTCGTATATTTTCATACGTAATTGAAAATTTCCAGCAGAAACGGCAGGTCGAATGCACACGATCGAGAGAAAGAAAGTACTTCCCGAAAGTACTTTCAGACCTTTCGACTTCTCCGAATGGGGAGGATGCTTAATCAGCTGGCTCCTGCCGCCGGCTCGCTGGCTTCTGCCGCTGGCTCCTGCCGCCGGCTCGCTGGCTCCTTCCCGAAGTTGCAAATTAAGCATGACTCAGCCTTCGAGAGAAAGGATTGAGCGACGCAGTCTATTCATAATCCTGTGGCATTTAAAGCATGCGAGCGGTTTAGAAACTCTCCCCTGCAAAAACTTGTTAAGAAAGTTCAGAACCAATTCATCGCCTCAATTAGAAGAAAAATGCATAATGATACAAAGATTTTGTTCGGTATCGACTGGCTTGCCAAAAAAATTAATTTAATTAAAGGAATTATATCGATAACGTGGTACCGCCAGCCTGCATGAGCCACTTTCAGCGTCTTCACATATAATAATCGCACATGAAAGTGCGAAGAATAAGGTAATTTTACCAACTGTCGATAATTGACAAATGAGAATTTGGCAGGCTGATCGCACGCGTTTCTTCCCGCTAAAATGCCGAGTCGCTAGGCTCCTTTTTCATCATGCTTCTCTTTTTCGCATTCGCAGATGAATTCCAGAGTCTGGCGCAGCACCGAGGGAATGCCTTCAACACGCTGCATCCAGTTCCAGTGAGTCACGGGGCTTATTGTGTGTGTGTGTGTGTTTGTCGAGCGTCTGTTTCGTCATCTGTGAAGGGGAGCATTTTTCGTTTCTTGACATTTATGTGGCAGTTGAAGTCCTCTGAAATTTTTTTTCTTTTTTACTGGAAGAGAGCTACATTTTAGGTGACGCTGTAAATAAAAGGGCGACCCGAACGAATAAAGGCAATTGGGGAGCAATTCCCATCCCCTCGCATTACAACCGTTGAGAAATGCGAGGAATCCCATTGGTCGCCGATGTTGCGGTGGGGCTTCCTCTCTCAGGAACGGTTTTCGTGCTCCTGGATGTGTTTTTTTTTCGGTACGGTCTTCCATTATTTGCAACATTTGTGAGGAATTATTACTTACGAGGATCCACCAAAAAGTTGCAGGAGAAAACAATAAACAGGAGTAAGAATTTTATATATGTTTAGAATTGAAATAGCTCCCTTGACTTGCGATACACTTCTCCCCTCGTTTGTAAAGAGCATGGAAAACCGACTGCAAGCCGTTATTGGGAACCACCTTCGGCGTGTTGGTCGCAGCTGATTGGAGAGCGCCTGCGTCGTCGCAGCTGATTGGAGAGCGCCTGCGTCGTCGAAGCTGATTGGAGAGCGCCTGCGTCGTCGAAGCGGCGGCCTTTTGCCTTCATCTGGAAGACAGCGTGAAGAAGCGAATCGCGAGATCCGGTGTAAAGGCGATGTCATTCTCTCGTGCGTGTGTGTGCGGGTGGCACGGTCGATTTCGCGAAGGGCGGGAATCCTACGAAGATGACAAATGCAGCGAACGGCCATCGAAAAGTCGAACCGAGGAAACTGCGCAGGCCTTTCCCGAGCCTGTCTGCAGTGACCGCCGCCAATCAGCACCATGCGAGTAACACGAAATTTCTAACCAATCGCGGGGCGACATTGCTCCAACATCCCCCCTATTCATCGAACCTTCCGACTTGTCACTCGATGAAGTTCCCTCTGAAAGGCCGCCGCTTCGACGACGCAGGCGCTCTCCAATCAGCTGCGACGACGCAGGCGCTCTCCAATCAGCTACGACGACGCAGGCGCTCTCCAATCAGCTGCGACGACGCAGGCGCTCTCCAATCAGCTGCGACCAACGCGTCGAAGGTGGTTCCCAATAATGTCTTACAGTCAATGTTTCAAGCTCTTTACAAAAGTGAGGAGAAGCGTATCGCCAACCAAGGAAGCTATTTCGAAGGGAAATAAACCGAAACCCAACTTATGTACCTAGTTTTCACGTTGGTGGGCCAGTTCTGGTACTTTTCTGGTACTGATCCGTCTTCGCCCGCAAGGAAGCTGGACGATCTCTTGTCGAATATCCGGTCCATCAAGCGAAAAAAATATCCAAGGGGGAGTTCGTATCTGTTGCGATGGACTCGACTATAGCGTTTACGCTTCCGTGGTTCCCGGAAATTCTGGTAGCTCCATTTGGAGTTATATGGGCACTCCAATACTTACATCGTTCGACGAGAATTACGCTCGGACCGCAGATTGCTTTAATCAATCGGTACTCCGAATTATCTCGGAAAATTGTTTGTCTTTAGCTGAAGGGAACCCGACTGCGTGGTTTACAATTGGATCGTTCGACGAAGTGTTCGGGGACACATGTGCACGGCAAACTACCCTGTTTTTACGGTTTGCTCATATTAACAGTTCGACTGCCCGATTTACCGCGAACGGTCGGGGGAACATGGAAGGTTTCATCGTTTCATTTTTTCCCTCTTTATTATCACTGAAACTAGAATTTGTTTGAGCATGCACGCTTGTTCGAGAGTTTCTGTTGCAACGGTGAAATTCAGGTTTTCGCCTTCACCAAACTTCCCCCCCCCCCCCCCCAGCCAAAACCACTCATATCACCGCGAGTGCAATTGAAACCCGAGAGCATCCGATTGCCATTCCCCGACAGTTCGACCTCCTCCCCTACGTGGAGCAAGGAGAATCCGCATTCCGCGAGGTGAAAGCCACGCTGGAGAAGGGAGCCTGGAGCTTCGAGCGGGAGGACGACGGCGTCCAGGTCAGGAGCCTCTACAGCGACAAGTACAAGCGATACGTCTTCCTCTCCGAGGTGAGTGGACGCCATCGGACGTCAGTGGACGCCATCGGACGCCGTCGGACGTCGGGCTCGTGTGACCTCGCTGCTTTTCGTCGCAGACGGTGATAAACGCTTCCGTCGAGGCCATCGTGGAGGAGCTGTGGTGGCATTACGACGAAGCCACCGCTTGGAACCGAGAAACCACGGGCGTGGAAATCATCAAGGTCAGTTGCCACATCGACTTTCAGTTCTAATAAATTCCCCCCGCTCGATTTTCAATGCATGACGTCTTGAAAAAATTTTTTTAAAAACGCCACACGAACGTAATTTAGCATCGTGCCAAGCATGAAACCGGTTCATAAAAGATGCCTCGCGGCCCGAAAATGCGACAGCGATTTTTTGTACCCGCCCTCAACGCGTCTTCATTTCGTCTCGACGTCTCCAGCGACGTTGAATCGACCGGAATTTTCCGTCGCAGAGAATCTCCCCCGACACGATGATCGCCCGCACGATCGGAGCAGACCAAGGCGCCGCGCAATTCTCGACCAGAAGAGATTTCTTGTCCGTCTATTCCCGGAGACAAGTCGGGGATAGCTTCTACCTGTGCTACGTCTCCACGGAATACCCCGGAGTACCACCCTCGGAACAATACGTCAGGTAAACCGCTTGAAACCGTTTGACACCGCTTGAAACCGTTTGACACCGCTTGAAACCGTTTGACACCGCTTGAAACCGTTTGACACCGCTTGAAACCGTTTGACACCGCTTGAAACCGTTTGACACCGCTTGAAACCGTTGGAAACGGTTTGAAACAGCTTGAAACCGCTTGGAACAGTTTGAAACGGTTTGAAACCGCACGAAGCAGCTTAAAACCGCTTTGAACTGCTGCAGACTGCTTTGACCCTCTTGAAGCCGCCGGAAGGAAGAAAAAAGACTTTCATTAATTTGAAAACTTTGTTTCAGAGGAAGCTTTTATCCGAGCGGGGACGTGTTCACTCGGAGAGCAGACGGCACCACGACGTTCCAGTCCGTGCTGAACATCGACATTAAAGTGTACGCCATCTTCGACCCGATCGTCCGGCTCGTCACGCCGCTCTCGCTGATCAAGGTCGCCAAGGCCCTCAGGGCGTACGCCCCGACGCTGATGCGAGACTGACCCAGGGAACAAGAAAATTCTCCGGCGAAAAGATCCCGGAAACCAGCCAAAGACAATAAATGCATTGAACGTTACGAGCCGGGCTCTTTTTTTTTGCGGGAGGGTTGGGAAGCCTCGCAAAACCGAGAATTCGCAAATTTCCGAGCGCAAAGTTTGCCTCATGGATTACGATATTAATAATTACTTCGTGCTCGCTTTCTGAAGCTGTTCTAGAAAAGTTTCGAAATGGAACTCTAAAACGGGTTCCCTGCTTTTATTTCGTACCAAGATTTCGTACCTCTTTCAGGAATTATCAGGGGTACCGGAAAGTAATGTCGTTTTTTTTTGTATACCAAATGTAAACGTTATTTATTACGTGTTTTCATTTCATTCAGTAATCTAAAGAACCTTTATCTGTCATACATTTTTCGATTGCAAAAATTGTTCACCTTCAGCAAAAACGTCTGACCACATCCCCGAAGAGATCCAAATACGACATATTATGCTCTATGAGTTCCGTAAAGGAAGTAAGGCAACGGAGGCCAACAAAAATATTTTTGGTGTTTTTAGAGATGTCCGCAAATGCCAGGGTAGGTTCAGCAAATAATAATAATAAAATGGGTAGGTCAGACGACGTCGACCTCTCGGATGGCCATCGTTCGAGAAGACCGGTAGAGCTGAAGAACGACCCGAGGTCGAAGGTTGAGTCAGACCCCGATCAAACCATATTAAGTAATTAAGTTAAGTTAAGTTAAGTTAAGTAATTAAGTTTTCTGCCGATTGCTGGAAACGAACTGGAAACCGCCTCGAACGCCCGCTTCGACTGGCCAGGAAATGGCAGCCCGTATCACTTTTCCAGGTCAGCTCCTCTCGTCTTTTTACAGCTCAGAAGTATCTCAGTCTGAGTAATCTCAAGCTCGAGTCGGTCTTGTTTGGTGAAAGTTATCGAAACCGGTCTGCGGGAGCCAGCGTTTTCGTGCAGTGCATGGAGCCGTCGGCTGAACGGAACCGGAGCAAATCCATGGAAACAATGTAAACGCATGAGTTTAACGTTCGCTGGCATTTCCCATGCCGATGTGAGGATTTTGAGGGAGGGACCTCCGTCGATTGTCCCCCGGAGGCCTTCGATCGATGCGTGGGAGATGCTGCGACGCGATTCGCACCATCTCGTGTTTCACATCATGCCATAACATGCGATATTATTTCACGTCCCCCCCCAGAGTCGCCTCTCGCGTAAACACACGCCGACATCCTCGCGAGTCTCACACAGCGGAGCGGGAAGCATGGTGCCTCCTCCGGTCGGGTCGATGGCGCTGACCTCCCTCCGATTCGCGTCCCTCTTCCTCCTGCACGATCCAGTCTTCGACGGCGCCTCCGCTCCCTCCCCCTTCCCTGGACCCGCCGGTGAGGGTTTCCGAATCGAGGATCGGTTTTCTCCGACTCCTCGTCGAAACGTTGAATTCTCATTTTCGTCCGCATCCACGCAGATGGCTTGGCGAACTCCACAGTCCATCCAGGGAACCCAGACAAGACACCATCTCCTTCGGAAGATCCGGTGAGTTACAAAAGCCTACATTTCGTCGCTCTGCGTCTCCAGTTTGCACTATTAAAACCTGAAAATTTCCAATTTTTAAAATATTGAGAAGGAGAAAAAAAAAACAAGGTCTCTTTTTTTTATCCCCTGTTTCTGATCCTATTATTGGTTGAAATCTTGACAAATCTTGACCATCGAACACAACCGCGGGAATAAAATTGAGCTTATAATGACATTAAGTGAATGATGAAGTGCAGGTGATAGATTGCCGCCCATCAACGCACCTTTCAGAGTGTGTCAGATGAGGAGCAAAAAGCGCGACTATATCGGAATTGTCATATCCGGAAATCAATCACAGTCATACCTTGTCTTCCGCAAAAATTTTTTTCCCAAACATTTCCACTCTTGCTCAAGCTGCAGAAGCAGCTAAGCCCTTCGAAGATCGCGATTAAAATATTGCAAAATCCCAGCCAGCACGCTTGATCCATTCGGCTCCAACCCGCCCATCGACTCGGTCCTGATGACGGGCGAAGGGGGATTCCCGAACTCGAGAACTTCACAATGACTTTGGGGACCAGACCGAGGAATACTCGGGAGAGGATTGCACTCGAGGCAAAATGGAGTAGATGCGATTCGGAACACGCACAGCTTCGACCGATTTCCCGGTGGTTCGTTTCGGTGGTTGGAACCCTTGACAGATGAAACCCTTACCTGATGGATTTGTGAAGTAAAATTTAAAAAGACAGAAAATCTGTCTTCTGTCTTTAAAAAGACAGAAAATCGCTCTGAATCACAAGCCCCGTTCCAAGCCGGAGCTATGGCTCTTTTCCTTCCATCGAATGCGAAGTTATAGGCTTTGACCCTGCAGGGAGTTGGAATTGGGCAATGTTTCCTAATTGGGGCTCATATGCATTACGGGATATCGATCCGTGCTTCGATGGTGGGTATGAGAACCGGTCTACACTGTTTGCAGAAGGGGTTCAGAGTTTAACCTAAGTGAAGGATAAACCGTAAAAAACGGATAGATAACAGTGAATAACCATTTAAAAGGGTTAATTGGATGCTCGTCGTAAAGGCGATGAATTCTTTATCAATAGGCTTTGATAGTGCCTATTACCTTTCTTCAACCCCTCGTATTCCTCTCTGAGAGCATCAACAGGAACGAAATTTGGCTTACTTCTTCCTCTCTCACCACAGAATCGCTCCAGCAAATTTGAAGGTCCATCTCCTTGGGGTTGTGGAGAACGCTGAATCTCGTTTTTGGAGGATGTGAATTTCATTCCTTTTTTTTCTCTCCCCCCGGGTTGCCACTCCTGGGGGGTTTTCCGAGGAAAGAGACCAACCATAAGAAAGTTATTGACTTGTAGTTGACGAAAATGGGCTTTTTTGCGGTGTTCCATTTCGCCATTAAAAAATGAATTTAACTGTCGTTCAATTAGGCTTAGAGTGCTTGCTCCGGTGCCGTCCCCCAGTGTTGCCGGATACCGTGCCGAAATTATGCCAGATTCAAGACCTGTCTAAACCTTCGTATTGGCGTCAGAATCTTCTGTTTTTAATGTACGAGATATTTTTGTGCTGAGTTAATGAGATGAGTTAAGAATGAAGCAGTGGTTAGCAGTTATTGATTGCTGTGGTGGGATATGCAGAAATCTTATTCGGACATCCCTGAATTAACAGGATGGCGCGTACCATGGACTCCATACTTCTTGAGGGCATTCTCTCCTCAGACCTATTCGAGATGGTTCGAGGAAATCCAGATTGGCCTAACGTTCCACGTCCCACAGAAATGGTTCATGAAACGCGAAATTGGACTCCAATCGGTCTAACGTTACACGTCCACTTTGAACTGGTTCATGAACCTATGAATAGGCCTGCGATTGGCCTCACGTTACACGTCCTCAACCAGATGTCTCGAAGACCACGATTCACCCTTATAGGCCTAATTGGCGCCTATGTGGAGAATTGAGTTTCTTTTGAAAGTAAAAAGGTAGGCCTTAGCGTGACCTAAAGGCAGTCTGTTGGTTAGGCCTAGGCCTATTGTTAGTGAGTCCCGTAGGGTGGCGGGGGAGGTTGAAGGGAAAGCGATTGAAAATTGGTTTTCCCAATACTTCATATCCTTTTCGAGCGAAAGGGTCAAACGTTTAACTAGGAGAGTTAGTTCTTGTTAGTGGATAAAGGAATATCCATGAGAACAGGTATACATAATTATCCCTTTGAGGTTAAATATGTGAAACACTGAAAGGGGAAATGGTCTTTCGAGAAAAAATATATGGGAATGCGTGAGGCAGGAGTCGAGAAGGGCCAGACAGCTTCGAGGCGAGGGATCTGCGACGGCAAACGCCTTCCTTATATCCTCGCCTGCGCTTCTCACGTCTTTTTTATAAGGAGGCACCTGGAGATGGGCTGCTTGTAAACTACTGGAACGCAATTTGGAACTCGAGTTTCCACCGCTTCTAAGGAAAATGTTGTGATAGGGAAGGCGTGGATAAGTACAATTATTCGAATGGTGGTTCAGCGGCTCACCTGACAGGGTTCGAGTCTCTTCCCCTTCCTTCTAATCGCATTACCGAAGGAATGCCATATGGAGCTTCTGCGTTGTTTAACCCTTTCGGTACGGAGTTTGGCGGTCATTAGGGACATCCATGGACTAAGTTAGTTTACGGAAGATGTACATTGTGGATATGGATGTGTATGTGGGAAAGCATTGGCCCATATGTGTTCATAGTCCTAAGGAGCAGCTTACTACAAAACGTGCATACACGTTCACAGTCCAAAAGGCACAGCCTTACGCGTATGTATACGCGTTCACAGTACTTAAAGGGTTAACGGCTGCGGATCGGTCGATCTATTTCTGGGCGTCCGATTCCTTGACAGTACGATCCTCTCTAGTACGTGGAACAAGGAGAATCCGCATTTCGGGAGGTGAAACAACTTCTGGAAAAAGATGACTGGGAAACGGTGGAGGAAGAAGATGGCATCGTCGTCAAGAAACATTATAACGACAAATACAAAAGATACGACTATCTTTCAGAGGTGAGTTCTCAATTCACTTTCCTCTGATCGTATTACATCATGCGAAAGCGGTTGCGTGCATTTGTATCAGACTGTGCTGAATGCTTCGGCTGAGGTCATCTTCAACGAGTTATGGTGGCATTACGAGCGAAGTCCTACTTGGAATGCAGAAACCACAGGCGTGGAAATCATCAAGGTAAGTTGCCAAAGCGATATTGAGACTCAAATATCACCTCCCATTCCAAACTTTAACTCCTTGAGGTGAGCTTTATGAACTCGAGCAGAATCCGTTTGCCGGAAAAATTGGTGTGAGTTTTGGTTCCTATTTCGATTGTAAGGGTTGGGATTGGTGGAGGACACTTGGTCTTTGAGGTGACCCCACAGAAAGTAATCAACCGTGGTCAGATCCGGCGAATGTGGAGGTAATGGACCCCCACTGATTAATCGGTCTCTAAAAAATTATTCCAAATGGTTCATTGAGACGTTTGCGACGCGTGAATTAGCATTATCCTACAGAAACCAGGCCCCTACAATTTCACGCTCAGTCAAAGTTTTCGAGGAATTGATCAATGAAGCCACAATACACATTGGAAGCTACTGTTTCTTCGAAGAAACGAAAAAAGTGCAACATTACTTTTAAAAAAATATGTCCATTTGCGTCACTTTAAGAACGCCCTGTACGAATAATACGTGGCTTCCCACGAAAGTAAATGGAACTTCTCATCCTTCCAGAGAATTTCCAATGACACAATGATAGCCCGCGTGATCTCGGCAGACCAAGGCTCACCGTACATCACCAGACGAGATTTCCTGTCCGTGTACTCCTGGCATCACGTGGACGACACCTTCTACATCTGCTACGTTTCCACGGAATTCCCCGGAGCGCCATCCAACGAGGAATACACGAGGTAAACCTCCTTTCCCTCCTCCAGGTCATTCCAGAGGGATGATGCGTTCTCCTTTCCTTCAGGGGAAGCCACAATCCGAGCTGCTTTGTCATCTCGCCCAGAGCCGACGGCTTCACGGCCTTTCGGTCCGTTTTGAACGCGGACGCGAAAGTGTATGCCTTCTTAGAACCCATTTTTCGAGTCGCCATGATTCGCGCCATGATTAATTACGCCGCAGCTCTCAGAGAATACGCCCCGAAACTGGAAGGACTTTCATGATTGTTTTAATTCATTGTGGAAGAGTCGGGAAGCCCATGGAATGAAATAAAGCCATCGACAACAGCGACTGGAGGATGGTTCATTACGATCGGAACCCCTTACAAAAATTTAGCGATAATTGCAGAAGAATTCGCACTCAGTCCCGTTTAGACCGAACCTCTTCAGTGGTTTTTTCATCATCACAATGAAGGAAGATGTTGGGTCACTGTCAGAAGTGTTGAACTGTCCTCCATCGAGGCGTGTTACAGTTTTTCAGGGAAACGATGACTCGCATCAGATCATGAGAGTCGCGTTTCACAAGAACACGCTGACCGAAATCTCCAAGGCCGTTTCACGCTAATGGCACGACCCTTCCACAGATTTCCCCCAAACTTCAGAATGAAGCCACAAATGTCCTACAAGTATTTTTAATGATCGAAACAGTATTTCCAATTTAGATGAAAGACACAAGGAAAAAGCAATCATTTCATCATCGAAGACGCAAAGGTGCCAACATTGGAAAGCATCTCCGAAAACCCGCCCTTCCTTTCTCACCACCCCAATTTAAGAAAATCGGAACAGTTGAAGGCCGGGGATTTCTCAACTAACATTACAATGCAGCCGCAAAGCTCGAAATTTCTGCTAAAACTTCTCATGGCATGCCCACAGTTGACTGAAGCGGATGCACCCATGGAGTACCCTGGACACCTCTCGCTTCAAGTAATCGATCCCGCTACCGTAACCATCCCTGCATCCAGCTCGTCGTTCGATGTTCCGTACCGTCGAGATGGAGTTGGACGTTCGAAGTAAAAGTTGTCCATTTGGCATTCATTGCCTTTCGGTCAAAAAGACTGCCTGAAAATTCCTGAAAATTTCTTCAGTTCTTGCATTATTGGATGGATTCTCCATCCGGTTCCTCTTGTCTTCCGACCTTTGGAACTAATGCCTTTCTTTTTGATGCGGTCCCGTTCGTTTGTCTCTGATGAGCTGTCCGATTCCTTCTATGGAATTTCTCATCTGATGAGATTTCTACTCCGTATTTGTCGATGGTGCACATGCGATGGAGAGCTGCCGAAGATGATTTGTGCCGAGGTCTTGAATGATGCTGAGAGCAGGGCATTTGTAATTAGTTATTGGCATCTGGAATGGATCAGGAGACATTTGCATCATTGCCTTCAACAATACATGAGGCGAAAAAACTAGCCAAAGCACAGGAGCAAGGGTCTTCTGAATTTGGTCGAAATGAATGTCAGGCATGACGACCCTGCCTGCTGCTCTTATTTGACTGAAGAAAAATTCCTACGCAATCTTGATACTGGAGTGATATCGGAATTTAGTATTTAGAATAACTCGAAAGGGTAAGAAAATCCGATTCTTCGGAGAAGAAACAGAAACAAGCATTCCCTTCTGACATGGAATGAGAACGTTCTTCCAATTTTTTCTAAAGACTTTGCAAAAGTCGATCAAGTCTGGAATTCTGTTTCGCAGTCGAATGCTTTATCCACAGCATATGGGCCTTACTCATTCAAAGTGTGTTCTAGATCAGTAAACATGAAATGACGAGTCCACAAGTCCACTGAAATCAGCCTGGTCTTTCCCCCATGGGGGAGCAAAACTTTCAGGCTTCTGCTGCTGGCCAAACTTTCTGCCGTTCCGTGCCAGTTAAATCGAAGTGTCACAGTCAGGATTCGTTAGCAAAGGCCGCTTGCATCCTCTCTCGGAAGTTCGAGTCATACTGAGACCAAAGAGAAGAGAGTATAATTAGAGGCGAAACTCCCCTTGAATCTCGTTCATTGACAGATTCGTAATGTAGATGTCGCTGTCGATCCTTCACCTAGCGTGAGCATATCAACAACTTCTCCATGGCCGAGCAGCGGACTCGACGAGACACGCGTGTCACGATCACTGAGGAAAGAAAAAGAATTGGACATGGCGCATAATAGAATGGATTTGGGGCAATTGGAAGCCATCTTAGTTGGATCCATGGTGCTCATCTCCATTCACTACAATGGGATTTTCCCATAATTTCCCATCCCAGATTTCTTCCTGTCGTGAACATGATGGCAGGCAGTCATGGTACTGGAGACCTAATAATTCTGGGGGAGTATCATAGGGCTGATAACGTCAAGTCGGAATTTTCTTTCATGTGGGCGAGTCTCCATTTTCTCGAGTAGGCCTGCCTTTGGTGAGATTGCTGGGCCTACGAAGGCGATAACGTTACGCCACCCTTGCATCATCACAGTCGACATATTTTACAGCTAGTCTAAGCATAAAGTCAAACGAACTTCAAGTGAACATTAAAAAATAAACAAAGGTTAAAGGAGACGAAGGGCGACCACGAAGTGCACGGTAGAGGTATTGGCGGGTATTAGCAGGGCATGCTTCCGTATTCAGAAGGGTTGCTCGAATGTTCTCGCGGTACCTGCTCCATTCCTCCACCAATCCGCACCAAAGGCCCGCTTTAACCTGGTCCCAAGCAATCGGGCTACAAAATGCAGCCGTTTTCCCCATACTACTTCTATGAGCGCGCCATCTCCAGTTCCTTTTCTTATCTCAGTGGTGTTACATTGAGGGACTCCTTTGGGTCGAATCCCCGAAAGAGTAGATTCTCGATTCCTCTGCCACGAAGCACGCATCATGGAAGTGTTTTTGATAACAAGCCACCAGATGTCTCTGTAATATTTCGACCCCCCCCCCCCTTACACTCTTAGAAAAAGGAGAGCGATTTTCTCAATAAAGAGAGTAAAATCGCTAATTCCAGTTTCACTCCCCTTTCACTCTGGGAAAGGAGCGAATTTGCTCCATCACCAAGGAGTAACATTGCTCTCCTCCTCCATGAGTAAAAAAGCTCCCCTCAGGAAGAGATATGGATGTCATGCAAATACACAAATCCTCATATATACCTGTAAATTGTGTCGCTTTCGCTCGCATAGTGCAGGCATTGACCTACTTTTGACTGTACTGATTACAGTATAAATCAGAGGATGGATCACCTCTTTCAGTTCCATGACGTGTCTGCGATATCGGTTCTTCTTTTCCTCATTCTCTCAAGTCGAGGTAACAAGATTGATTTCAAGCACGTCCCCTATGTATTCTAGACCTCCTCTGCGGATGAAGCCGTTGGGACTTCCAAAAGGTTTCTCATCAGCAATATGAGCTTGTTTATGGCCTGGGCTCTATGAATCTGTCTTGAATATGTGGATAACAAACGATGGAATGTTCGTGTTTATTGATTCCTTTAATGAGACTTGGCGAGACATATGTCGAGGTACAAAACAATCCTGCGAGGGACGATTCCAGAGAAAGAGAGATGGGAACTTTTGTGTACTGTGCAAAAGCGAGACCCTTACCTCCATCTAGTGGTGTGGCGAGGAACTTCAAGGTGTTCAGTTCACTACGAGCGATGAGGGAGCATTTGGTGAGTAATAAGAGAGTACATTTGAAAAGCTCACAGTGTGCTCACTTTTTACTCCCTAAACGCTTGGAATTTTAAAAGAGTGTGCCCTTCGAAGTGTCGCCTCTAGTTATCAATATATTGTACTCTCTACTCTGCTGGGTGAATCAAATGTCTGGACACACAGGAAACTGAGCTCAATATGTGTTTATTGCACGAAATGTTACAGCATGTGTTGCATATGTTGTCCATCGTCCTCCAGATATTTCTGGATTCTTTTTCCAAATTCGCTGTGGACTGATTGCAGGACATTGACTCACAAGCTAAAACAAACACACACAAGACCTGTGTCCATACGTTTGACTCACCATGTATGCTTGTGGAGAGGAAGAAAAGCAGTTTTGCCCATGGCATTCGTTCTTCAGAGTCACACGCCAGGTAACACAGAACATTGACTCAACATTGATTGGATGTGGATTGCGTGTGCGAATGCTGAGGGTTGAAGATGAACACTGTTTCAATGTTGATAGAATGATGTCACGTAACATTGTGGATTCCAATTGGGAATATTCGGATTAAATTTCTTAAATGTGGCATCAATGTTAATCCCTCTTAAAATAACGAAGAGTTGGACCTCTCCAATAATTTTTCCGAGTACTTTCAACCTACAAAAACAAGATTTCAATGCTGTAAAAACGAGACTCCTCAACTATTGAGTTGCATGCCGCCTATTATCATGTATTTGAATGTTTAATTTTTTTTTAGTCCGGAAACAAATAAATAAACCATTTCCAATTGCCCTACGGTCATTTGCCGAGTCGTATTGCATCCTTTTATGCACGTTATGTTACTAGGGTAGTGTAGTCTAGGCGCGATCATAACGAAGTACCAAGAGCCCTCACTAGATGGTATGCATGTTCCCTGGTAGCCTCCTAATGTAATTACGGATTACGGATCTGTCACCTTCCATTAGATCGTTTTCTTCCCACTTTCCTGAACACATATATTAGAGAAATGTGGAATTATGATGTTCTGATTGCAGCATCTGATTCTGAAGCAAATTAAATGTCCAGGTTTTGTGTGAGCGCATAGAAGTCTAGGCGATTAGACACATGTAGAGCACTCATCGGAATAACGTGGAGTGATACACTCACTGATCATCGAAAAGAGAAGCTGAGGGGGTATATACTCAACTTGCAAACCATTCAGGTACACGACATATCGGTGCAGTTTGCAGAAATGAATAAGATCCATCCTCTCCAACTTCTCTGTACTCTGTGGGTACTGACCTATAGAAACTGAAGATTTATCCTCATTAGTATATATAGTTCATCATCCATAGGTCTTGCGATTCATTATGATGAATTTACCTCTACTTTGATCCATGGAGGAACCCATATTAGCAGGGATTCATCGATGAATGTTGAGGCAAGGTGGAAATCGTATTGAAAGAATGTTGTCATCGATATTGTTCGACTTTAACAAGGAATGTTGAAACAATGTTGACAAATATGACATCTTCACATGGAATCAATGTGGTACTTCAATGTTGTTTCAACATGATAAATGTTGCCATGTAACATTGTTTCAATGTTGTTTCCACGTGGATGTGTTACCTGGGTCGATCTTCCGATCTTTCGGTCATCCCGATTCTTCTCCGTTTAAACACTCTCGACTCGGCGTGCCTTCTT